CCTCTTTTCCTTCCCTGGAGATTATAAACTGCATCCAGGGCTGAGAATCACTGGTGGGAGGAGGGCAAGTAATGATAAAGTAAGTAAAGGAGAAAGAGGGTTAGGAACCAACAAAACTAACAGAAAGCCTCTGTGGTGTGCACACATGGTCTTTGGTCCTCAATACTCTTTGGAGTCATTTGTCTATTCATTGATTTCCATTTACTGACTCAGTTTTCGTTTCCATCGCTTACAACTTTGGCTTGCTCATTTGTAAAATGAAGATAACAATACCTACTGCTCAGAGTTGTCATAAGAGTGGAATTTAGTTAAATAATGTATATGAAGTGCTTAGCACTTAATAAATGCTTAATAGTGATTGGTGTGTTGCTGTAATAAAAATAAAAATAATAACATGAGAATATTATAATAATGAAAAACTATTATTGAGCATCTATTCCTATTTCAGGTGTTTGTTAGGCACTGGGAATATTGTGATAAATTTTACAGATCTAATCTCTTCCCTCGAATAGCTCACAGCATCATGGGTGAGAAAGGTCTAGAAACTATAAGAGAGTGGTTTAGGTATCAAAATGGAGAGGAGGGGATGGTATGGCCCATGGAATCCAAGCCTAATTTTGCTTCTCATTTTTTGCCTTGTCCTCATTCTGCATGTGTGCAGAGGTACTTCAGTATTATTGAACTTTGCTAGCAAGTTATCAAGGTCTCAGACATCCAGATTATCAAGGTCTCATTAGGAAAGGGGATTGGTGCCTGTCTTTCATTTGGATTTTAAGGTGGGGGTAGTTGAGAAACAAGCACAAGGAATCATTTTTCGCCTTCCCTTTCCCCCTCCAACCTAGTCAGCCCATACTGAAGTTTTTTCCTGGACAAATTAGATTAGCTTCTAATTGCAGGTTAGATAATTAGCTTTTTAACATAATCACTGTTTAAACACTGAAAGCAAATATTTTGGCAATGAGATTTCTTTTTTTCATACACACAAGATTCAATAAGATGTATCCAGCTTAACAAATGGTTGTATTAAAGAAATTTTAAAAGAATTATATTGAGTCCCAGCAGGATAGAACAGTGACATGGTGTCCTGATACATAAATCTGGAGGCAAATCCTATGGATTAAGTAAGGAGAAACAAGACATAGTTACTGTAACAATAATCTGGAATGATATTTTATAACAACTTATAATTAATGCTACTTTGTGTCCTTAGAATCATGGCTAGTAGTTAGTTTGTCTTTTTTATATGATAACTTCTAATCAAGTTCTCTTATAATATTTTGAGGAGTTTCAAAACTATTATTTATAAATAAATGCTAGGCTATTTTTTTAGATGTCTTTCAGATTTAAGGAACTGCTCCCTTTTTACTTTTGTTTAAAATGACTATAATGTTGTGTATTGAAATAATAGGGACCTGCCCTGTGATTACCAGATTTGAGAAAGTTGGATTTATTTTTTTCTTAATTATTAATGCAAGATGATTATAGATAAGCTTATTAATACCTTGTTATGTATTCTTCCAGACCATTTTATATGCATATATATATAATTTTAATGTAACCATAGTATACATATTCTTTTATAATCCGTTTTCATTTATAGTGTTATCTTATATGTTTTAACAAATTTTTAATGGACTACATAATACCCATTACTATGGATATAGCATTATTAATTTAATGGAGCAAGTAAGGGAAACGAGTGTCTAATTTTTTTGCACTTTGTGATTATAATCTATGTTGTGAGGAACATTCTTAAAGCTAAATCTTTTTATATACTCTTATTTCCTTTGTATACACTCTTAATTATATCCTTGGGTAAATTTCTAGAAATGTCATTGATAGATGTTTTTAAGACTTGATGCATTCACTGATTGTCAAGTTACCCTTCGGAAAGGTGTAACCAGTTTACAGTCCCACCAGTGGTTTATGAAAATCCCTATTTTCCTATACACTTAGTATTTGATATCCTTTCAAAGTTTTAAATTAGAAAATGTATGTAGTAACATTGTAAAGAGTAGGAAAATAGGGAAAATCACCTAGAATGCTATTTCCTTAACATAGCAGTGATTATAATATTTGTTATAGTATTCTAGGCTTTTAACACATGCGTAAGTGGTATGTACACTTTTGTTTTCTACTTTTTTCATTCATTGGTAAGTAGTTTCCCCTGCCTTTACCTGGCCTTCAAAATTCCAGTATTCAATGGCCACATGATAGTGCAATACATATTTGTATTTACCTAACTCTTCCCCTATTCATGCCAGTTTTTATTTTGTGTAATGCCACAATTAAAACACAGATATCTACCATTTGTTCAGTATTTACTATGGAACAAACTTTATATTATGTACTTTTTTCTCCCTTTATATTATTTCCTGGCTTTATGTCCAGGAATGGTAATATTGGATCATGAACATTTTTATAGCACAGTCCTTCTGGATTCAGAGTCCAGAGTGCTCACCATTATACCATGGAACCGCCATGCACAGTCCTTCTTATGTCACTGTTTTCTTTCTTATTTCTTACTATCTTAAAACATTTATTAAAAGCCTAAAATGTGCCAGACATTGTGTTAAGAGGCACTGAGAATACAAAGATAAATCAGAGTCCTTGGAGTCAGACATTAAACATACATGATAAAGAGGGACATGATAAAAGGCAATCCCAGATGATGGTGCATCAATTTCTTGGTTGGTCATTCTTTCCATCCATCCTCCATCCATTCATCCGTCCATCTACACATTTATGCCCACTTGATATCCCTCTGGAGCATGAGAGAGCTAGTTGTAGACAACATGATGCCCATTCATTCCTAAATATTTCAGTATAAGAATAAGGATCTTTTTTAACCACAGTACAATGACCAAATTCAAGGAATTTAATATGAATATCATACTATTGTTTAAACTGTTGTCTACATTCAAATTTCACCAGTTGCCCAAATGATGTCCTTTATGGCAGTTTTTCTTCTTTGATTCAGGATCTAATTGAAGATCATGCACTGCCTTTAGTTGTGTTGTCTCTTTTGTTTCCTTTAATCAACCATTCTTTGTCTTTAACCTTTTTGAAGAATAAAGGTTAGTTATTTTGGGGTTTTTTTAAAGATTTATTTATTTATGAGAAAATAAGCTGGGGGAGGGGCAGAGGGAAAAGCTGACTCCCTGCTGAGCAGGGAGCCAGATGCAGAGCTTGATCTCAGGACCCTGGGATCATGACCTGAACCAAAGGCAGATGCTTAACCAACTGAGCCACCCAGGTGCTCCAAGGTTGGTTATTTTGTAGACTATCATTCAGTTTGGAATACCTGGGTGGCTCAGTCAGTTAAGTGTCTGACTCTTGATCTCAGCTCAGGTCTTGATCTCAGGGTTGTGAGGTCAAGCCCAGCATGGACCCTACTTAAAAAAAAAAAAAAAAAGAGAGGAAAAAAAAAAGGAATGTCCTTCAATTTGAGTCTGTTTGAAGTCTGCTTTTGCTTAGATTCAGATTATGCATTTTTGTTAGGAATACCATGTAAGTGATGAGGTGTTCTTTGCACATCATATTAGGAGGCATGTGATGTCAGTTTGTCCCACTAATGCTGAGGTTAAATTTAATTCTTTGGTTAAAATGGAGGCTGCTGTGTATAGTTTTTTTTTTTTTTTTTTACCATAAAGTGACCTTATTTTTGCTTTTGTAATTAATAAGTAATCTGTGGAGAGATATTTTGAAACTACATAAATTTTACCCTCTGGTTTTATCACCCATTGATGATTTTCTGATTTCATCATTCCCTATATTTATTAGTTGGCTTTGTCTGTAAAACCTTTATTTGTTTGTATCAGTATGAACTCATGTATTTTTATTTTATTGAGTGGGTTATATTCTGTTACTATCATTATTTATCTTGATGCCCAAATGTCCCATATTGGGGCAGTAGGAACCCCTTCAAGCTGACTCCTATATATTTTTGATATGTTCCCATCATTCTTTGAGCAGTTCTTTACTTTTTGGCATAACAAGATGATCCAGCCTCATCTTGTGCTTTCTTTGCCCCAGTGTTGGAATCAGTCATTTCTCCAGGAAACCTTCATCCCTTATAGTTTGGAAAACAAGATAAGAGCTAAGGTATATGTTGTTTTTTTTTTTTTTAAAGAGTACCCAAAGTGGTTTTCCTGGTTTGTCTGGAACCTATTGTAATAGAGGCTTATTGTATATAGGAGTTCTGTCCATAGAATGGGCAGGACTGAGGAGGAGCTGAAATAGTTCAGGAAGATGAAAGAATATAAGTAGAGTCACACTATGTGGAAGAGCCCAACTCACTCAGAGGAGCTACATTTCAGTGTGGCTTCAAGTAGAGGAGTTTGAGAATGAGGCAGGGACCAGTTCATTGAGGACTTTGCCATCCGAAGGAACTTAACCTTAGAGATGAGGAACCATCATAGAGGGTTTAAACTGGGTAGGGAAGAGATAAAATTTTGATAGATTTGCATTTTAAGGACACTGTGCTGTCACCAGTGGCAATATGTAGGATGGATTAGATAAATGTTTAAAATTGTTTTCCAGCATAGTTGGCATTTTCCTTCTTAGAGGTCCAGTATTGCAGCTGCTGATACTAATGCGTCAGAGGGATAGTTCTCAGTAGTTTAGTGTAAAGAGAGCAAGAAAAAGCCAGAGCACACAAGTTAAAGCTTGAGTCATTTATCTGTTTGTTGAAATGGCAGCAACTCTCCATTTTAGTACTGCTTTTACAATCAAGACTGGAAGCTGAATGTCAATATTTTCCATTGAAAAAAACACAAACAAAAGATATAAAATATTGATGAATGTGAATATTGCTACATTTTATTTTTCTTTATCTTTGGTAGTAACAGCTAACATTCAGTAATGTAGACATTCTACCTAGTTTGTTATGGTAACCAAAATATGAAATGTAACAACCATGCTTTTTGAAATAATAGCAGATTGCATTTTTAGCTTGAAGTTTGTTGTTATAACAAGTTTTATTTCTGTACTATTTACAGCCTGTATCCCAGGCAGTTGGAATTGAACAAGCAACTCTTCTAAAACCAGATTTAGTTAGAAGGTGAGTATCTTCAAATTCATACCATCAAAACAATGAGAGTGTTTTGAAGTATTTGCACTCAGTGGGTGCTTAGTGAATCTTGATTAGAGAAGCTTCTGTTTTCTTGTATTTGTGTGTATGTTCAATAAAATAGTAGGTATTATTTTTACTTTATAATGTTAATAATCATATAGGATGTTAAATTATTGACTGTTTTCTTGTTTTCATTATTATAATACTCTATTCTTAAGAAAAGCTTAAAGGGGTTAAAAAAGGAAACAAGGAATAGTGTAATTTAGAATAAAAGTCCTGCTAATCTAAAGAAATTAGGTATAACCAGGTATATAATTGTGTTATTATCTGGTAGTTGGAAATTAATATTTTTCTCTGTGTTCAGATTGGATAATTTTTATTGTTCTCTCTTCAAGTTCATTGGTTCTTTCTCGTATTCATTCTGCTATTGTGCCCATTTGATGAATTTATCTCTATGATTATACTTTTCTCCAGTTTTATTGAAAAATAGTGGACATAAATCACTGTATAAGTTTAAGACATACATCTTGATGGTTTAATTTACATATACATTGTGAAATGATAACCACAATAGATTCTACTAACATCCATTTTCTCATCTAAATATAATAAACGAAAAGAAAAAAAAAGGAAAAAAATCTCTCCTTGTGGTGAGAACTCACAGGATTTCCTTTCTTAACGACTTTCCTATATCTCATACAGCAGTGTTAACTATAGTCATCGTGTTGTGTATTACATCCCTAGTACTTATTTATCTTATAACTGGAAGTTTGTACCTTTTGACCATCTTCCAGTTTTCCCTCTCCCCACTCTCTGCCTCTGGTAACCACAAGTCTGATCTCTTTTTCTGTGAATTTGTGTGGGTTTTTTTTTTTTTTTAATTTCTGTTTTTCTTAGATTCCACTTAAGAGATTGTACAGTATTTGTCTTTCTGTCTGACTTATTTCACTTAGCATAATGCCTTCAAAGTCCATTAATGATGCTGCAAATGGTAGGTTTTCCCCTTCTTATGGTTAAATTATAGTTGTGTGTGTGTGTGTGTGTGTGTGTGTGCACGTGCATGTGCACACACCACAATTTCTTTATCCATTCATCCATCAATGGACAGACAGGTTGTTTCCATGTTCCATGTCTTGGATATTGTAAAGAATGCTGCTATGAAAACAGGTGTGCAGATATCTCTTTGAGTTAATGTTTTTGTTTTTGGGGGATATATTCCCAGAAATCAAATTGCTGAATCATGTGGTAGTTCTAGTTCTAATTTTTTGATGATCCTCCATACTGTTTTCCAGAGTGGCTACACCAATTTATAGTCCCACTAACTACACAGTCATTCTCTTTTCTCCACATCTTTGCCAGCATTTGTTATCTTGTCTTTTTGGTAATGGCCGTTCTAATAGGTATGAGGCAGTATTTCTAGAGCTCAGTTTGTTGATACCCATTCTTGAGACAGAGGTACCTAGGTGGCTCAGCTGGTTAAGTGTCTGCCTTCGGCTCAGGTCATGATCTCAGGGTCCTGGGATCAAGCCCTGTGTCAGGCTCCCTGCTCATTGAGGAGTCTGCTTCTCCTTCTCCCCTTGCCCCTTTCCCCAGCTTGTGTACACATGTGCTCTCTCTCATGCTCTTTCACTCTCATACTCTCTTTCTCTCTCAAATAAATAAACAAAATTTTTAAAAATTTAAAAAATTCCTGAGACAAAATGGAAACACAACATACCAGAACTTTTGGGATGCAGCAAAAACATTTCTAGAAGGGACATTCACAGTAATAAATGTCTACATTAAGAAGTAGGAGAGATCCCAAATAAGGAACTTAACTCTATGCATTAAGGAATTAGGAAAAGAACAAACTAAGCCCAAAGTTAGCAGAAGAAATAATGATTAGAGTAGAAACAAATGAAATAGAGAACAGAAAAACAATAGGACATTAACCAAACTAAGAGTTGGTTCTTTGAACAGATAAACAAAATTGAGAAACCCTTAGTTAGACTAAACAAAGACAAAAGATTAAGGACCCAAAGCAACAAAATTATAAATGAAAAGGGAGGAATTACAGCTGATAACACAGATATTCAAAGGATCAAAAGAAGCTATGATGAACAATTAAATACCAACAAACTATACTACCTAGAAGTGGATAGATGCTTAGAAACATACAATTTACCAAGACTGAATCAGGAAGAAATAGAAAATCTGAATAGACCAATTACTATTAAGAAGATTGAATCAGTAATCAAAACATTCCCAACAAGTAAAAGCTCAGGACCAGATGGCTTCACAGGTGATTTTTACCAAATACTTAGGGAATAATTAACATTAATCCTTCTCAAACTCACAGTAGTGAAGAGGAGGGAACCTTCCCAAACTCATTTTATCATATCAGCATTATACTGATACCAAAACCAGAAAAGGATACTACTAGAAAAGAAAATGACAGGCCTATTCCCTGATAAATATAGATGCACAAAAACCTCAATAATATACTAGCAAACTGAATTCAACAGCAAATTAAAAGGATCATACACTATAATCAAGTAGTATTTATCCCTGCGATACAAGGATGGTTCAACATATGCAAATTAATCAATGATTTGATTGAAAGAAATGACTCATGATCATATTAATAGAATGAAATAAAAGAATCATATGATCATCTCAGTAGATGCAAAAAGTACGTTTGATATAATTAAACATTCATGGTAAAAACTCTTAAGAAATTAGACACAGAAGGAACATATCTCAATATAATAAAGGCTATGTATGGTAAATCCATATCTAACCTCTTACTCAATGGTGAAATGTTGAAAGCTTTTCCTTGAATATCAAGAACAAAACAAGGGTACCCTCTCGCCACTCTTATTCAACATAAGATTAAAAATCTTAGAGCAATGAGGGAAGAAAAGAGATAAAAGGTATCAATCCCATTTACAGTAGTATCCCCAACAACAAAAATACTTAAGGGATAAATTTAACTAAAGAAGGGAAAGATTTCTACTCTGAAAACTACAAAATATGGGTGAAAGAAATCAAAGAAAACACAAATAAATGAGTAGGTATTCTGTGGCTTAGAAGAATTAATGTTAAAATGTCAGTACTACTGAAAGCCATCGATAGATTCAATGCAGTCCCCATCAAGATTCCAGTGCCATTTATCACAGAGCTAGAAGAAGTACTCCTAAAATGTATATAGAACCACAAAAGTAGCCAAGTAGCCAAAGAAATCCTGAGAAAGAAAAACAAAGCAGGAGACATCATACTTCCTGATTTCAAGCTATACTATAAAGTTATAGTCACCAAAACAGTATCATACTGGCATAACAACAAATAGACCAGTGGAGGACAATTAAGAGCCCAGATATAAACCCAAGCATATACAAGTCAGCTAATATTTCACAAGAGAGCCAAGAATACTTAAAAGACAGTCTTTTCAATAAATGGGGTTGGGGTAATTGGATATTCACATGTAGAAGAATGAAACTGGATCCGTATCTTACACCACTCACAAAAGTTAACTTGAAATGGATTAAAGACTTAAATGTAAGACCTGAAACAGTGAAACTCCTAGAAGAAAACACAGGAATAAATCTCCTAGACATGGGTCTTGGTAATGATTTCTTGGATATGACACCTAAAACACAGGCAACAGAATAAAAAATTAACAAGTAGGACTACACCAAACTACAAGCCTTCTGCACAACAAAAGAAACCATTAGCAAAGTGAAAAGAAAACCTATGGAATGAGAAAATATTTGCAAACTATGTATCTGATCACAGGTTAATAACCAAAATATATAAGGAGCTCCTATAACTCAATAGCAAGAAGACAAATACCCCAATTAACAAATGGGCAAAGGACCCAAATAGACATTTCTCCGAACAAGATATACAAAAGGTCAACAGGTGTGTAAAAAGATGTTCAATATCACTAGTCATTAGGGTAATGCACATAAAACAACAATGATATCTTACTAGTGAGTATACGCTCTCAACTTGATTCTGCAGATGAGCAAAACCACTCATTGGGATTACTACTTGGACACTATAGGTATCAATTTGTCTGCCACGGAACCATCTATTGTCCTGTTGCAAACCCTTCCCTCCTTCCCTGTCATACTCGTATTCCCAGTGGTTGAGCCCTGCAGATTCTCCTGCAATGCCTGTAGTGTGAGATCAAAATAGGGGCTCCCACAAAGCTACCCACAATGTTGAGTGAGGGCTGGTTGTCCCGCCGCCAGGTTCTCTTTTCCAACTGGAGGTGTTAGAGGTTCAGGTACTATGCTGGCCTGGGGTAGGGGCAATGTGGCCAATGTATAGCCACTTCTCTTACGCCTCTTTTTTTTTTTTTAGAGGGGGGATGGAGAAAGAGAAAGAGTGAGCATGAGCAGGTGGAAGGGGCAAAAGGAGAGGGAGAGAAAATCTTAAGCAGGCTCCATGCCCAGCATGGAGCTCGACTCAGGCCTAGATCTCATGATCTGGGCTGAAATTAGTAGTCAAATGCAACTGACTGGGCCACCCAGGTGCCCCTTCTCTTACCCTTCTAATCCAGTCTGACTTGGTCTCTACTGTGCAAAGGGGTGGCTTCAGTCAGTTCTAGGAATGTTCTAGGAATCTTTCAGTGGTGTCTTGTTCTCAAATAGTTATTAGTTGTTCTTGTGAGCAAAGGCAGAAACAACCTATGTTGCCATCTTGGTGATGTCACTTCTTGTGATTGTGCTTTATTTTTGTAATTTTCCTTAATTCTCTTAATATCTCTATTTTTCTATGAGATTTTCTGTTTTCACATTTACTTCAAGAATATTTGTAATTGCTCATTGAAGCATTTTGATGATGCCTGCTTTAAAATCCTTATCAAGGGGTGCCTGGGTGGCTCAGTGGGTTAAAGCCTCTGCCTTCAGCTCAGGTCATGGTCCCAGGTCCTGGGATTGAGCCCCGCATCAGGCTCTCTGCTCCACAGGGAGCCTGCTTCCTCCCTTCTCTCTCTGCCCGCC